CTTCTCCTCTTACTGCCTCACCCTCTCTCTCTCTCAGCTCTCGTCCATCTCCTGCCTCTCTCTTCTTCTCTCTCTCTTTCTCTTCTCCTCCTCCCACCTCTCACTCTGTGTTTCTCTTCTTCTCCTCTTGCTGCGTCTCTCTCTCTCTCTCTCTGTCTCTCTCTCTCGCTGTCCTCTGCCTCCTCTCTGTCTCCTCCGCGTCCTCTTGTCTGCTCCGCTTTCCTCCTTTCGAATCCAGAGTCCTTTCCTGATGTTAGAGACGCATGCTCATCCAGGCCCTGCCCCCTGGCTGTTCCTTCTGAGCAGCTTTGTTGCCTCCTGCCATGGCACTCAGCTGACTTCTGCGCAACCGGCCGCTTGCACCGCTTACTCCCCCATGGCAGCCCGGCTGAGCGGCGCGGAAGTCAGCCGAGCACCACGGCGGGAGGTGAAGGACGTGACTGAGGCAACAGCGCTGCCCAGAGGGAACAGCCAGGGAGGCAACAGCGCCAGCCAGAGGGAACAGCCAGCATTTCAGCATTACAGAATCACAGACATTGGGCTACTATATATATGATAATAAGTGGAGCATCCACACTACCGAGCCCGTTATTTTGAAGTAATAAGCTGATTCTTTTGGAATAAGCTTATTTCAAAATAGTTATTTCATGAGTTATTTACTTTGAATTCAGTTATTTCAAACTAATTCCCTAATGTAGACATGCTAGGAAAATAGTGGGGGGGGGGACCCTTTGTGGGTGGGTTTTAATATGCTAGAGCAGGGGTGGTCAAAAGGGCCTCCATGGGCTGGATCCAACATGCCAAGTGGGTGAATCCAGCCTGCGGAGGCCCTGCCACTTCCCCATCCCCAGGCCAATTATGTCCCAGGGGCAGGGGAGCGCGCAAAGTTTCCTCCGCCCTGCCAGGAGTACACGGTGCTTGGAAGTGCCAGACACTCCTGGCATGGCGGGAGGAGGCTTCACACAATCCCCTGCCCCCAGGCCAAGCAGGACCTTTCACCATCAGCCCCCTTTCTTGAAGGACCCAGGCAATGCTGGGTAAGTCTTCTAGTATATCAACATAGTCTATAGAATGGTATAAGCAAATCATTGTGTGACATTTTAGCTTGTAGTAATTTCACTACTGCTTTTTATGTAGCCTATTGTAAAGCTAGGCAAATATCTGGATGAGTTTATGTACTCTCTGGAAGACCTCTGCATACCCTAAGAGGCACACGTATCCCTGAAAAGGAACCACTGCCTAGATGTCCTTTTCTCTGGTTGACTGACAGTACTGCTCTTCTCTCTGGCACACTGACTCATGTAAATAGGCTGTAGAGCAATTTATTTCTTGTACAAGAAACCATGAAATAGCTAAAAACAAATTACATTAAAATATAAGATAAATTAGGCTATAATTCTAGCTATATTTAGGTGATATTGTACACTTTATTATTCTTTCCTGTCTTTCAATTCCTTTCCAACTCTCTCTTTGCTTTGAAAAACATGCACATTTTAAAGACATTGTAACCTAGCAGTTTTTTGAGACTCATCTTGTTATTCATTAATTTATTTAAGAACTGTGCTTGCCAGCACTTACTCTGGGATTAATCTAACTTCCTTTTTAGAATCAATTTAATTTTTGATCAAAGTGAAGTCCTATGTAAAAAATATTTGCTGAAACTCACTGCTGGAATTTTAAGGGAAAATTGGTTAAGAAAATGAAGGATAATATTTCAATATAAAGAGTTTCAACAAAAATAGGTGAAAAAAGAAGAATGGCTCTATTTGGAAACCAGAAGAGAGAGATTTTCTAGTGGAAATGGAGATAATTTAGAGAATAAAAATGCTGTTACAGGATATCTTCTTTTATCTCTAACTGCGCTCACTTATCACCCATTTCCTTTAACACATTCAGCTCTTGGACACTGGAAACAATATTTCCAAGACCGTAGTTCAGCTCACGTGTCCCAATTAAAACTATACAACTCTTCCATAATAAATTCTTTTTCTTATCAGTATTCATCTGGGTGAATATCATTACACTTTCAAAATTTTAATTGGCCCAAATTCTTTACACTGATATCATTTCTTTAAACGGTGTTAGCTTGTATACTTTTTTCAATCCATTTCAGCTTGTAAGAGAAATCAAATAGCCTCAGAAACAATTATTCTTAATCCTTGTACAACTATCACTCCTCATTAA